AATGGGCTAATAAGACTGCTAACATTTATTTTCTATATGATTGTTTCACTAAACTGGTGTACTGACTGTCCTCAGAAGAGGTACTTTAGCCTATAATTTTCTGTCGGTTCTGCTAAGATGGATTTCTGCCTGCCTTTTCCCCCTTTCTCCCCGTCGTCTTCAGCGACAGTGTCCCTCGGCCACCCCACCAGTGTGGATGTTAAAACAAACATTGTACTCCACGATGAATCTCCTGTTTGTGATCAAGTTAGGCTTTGAGCCTGCATAAATTAATCATTTCTCAACTAAGAAAAATTAAAAGGCCTTGGAGAGAAACCCCTTCCTTGTATGGGAGGCAGTGTAAAGCTGGGTCTATTATTTTCATTCTATAAATACTATATAGTTCAACTGTAAGCCATATCCTTGAATCAACGTTCTTGTTAAGCGTTAAGAGCTGTTCTCCTGCATACGGTAGTCTGCATTTATGTTCGCTTATATCTTCTCCCTGCCCTGGCCCCCTCCCTACAGACTGTTCTGCTTTACTAACCTCATTCTTTCATGTGTATTTTACGTTTTGCCATGTAGGTCTTTCACAGCTTTGCAGCCCTAGGCGGGCATTCTCAGAGCAAGGTCCGCTCCGCCTGATCCGGAGCGCCTCTTTCTTTGCAGGTTTGCAGTGTGCTGTGTGCTGTGCGGTGTGGCTAGTCTAGCTGGTGTGACAAAACTGTGGATTTGTAGTTTAGCCCTGGAAATAAGATTTTTATTTTTTTTCTAAATACAAAATGGACAGTGATGTCTACGCTTTTACCTTTTTGGATACATGCTTTAAATCCCCAGAGGACAGCAGACATTTTAATAGTCCTCTTTGGGGCAGGTTGGTTGTGTTGTTTTGTTTTGAAGACTTATATATTTAATATTTCTGGAAATAATATTTCGCAATCATGTCGAGCTATTTTGATCTGGACTTGTTTCAACCAAACCGTAAAAACTAAAGGTAACTTAGGTTCACTCAAAATGGATGTTTCTTGCTTTTAGTGTCTGGGTCTTATTTCCATGGCTGAGTAGCTTTTATTTCACACACATATTTGTAAAATGTATCACATTTAAAGTCTGTTGAGCCTGAGACACTTTTGATCTTGTGTATATGCCGACTGTGAATCTGGACAGCTTACAGCTTAATTGAACAACCAACACACTGCTCACAATTTAAAAGTATTTATTTTCTCCAAGGTAGCATTGTAAAATCCTTTTAAAATTACATATATAGTACCTGAGAAAGCTGGTATGTGAAAGAAGTTGTGTTTATATTGGTTTTTGGTGGGCTTTTTGTCTGTACACTGAGTACTACCCATGTGACCAACGTCCTTTTGGTACAGTAACATTTCATTGAAAAATATCTGCGTAAAGAAACAAAGTGTACTAGTTTTAGGTTGTACTAAAATAGGTGTATGGACTTCAGAAAAATACATACAAGCTTTTCAGATAAGTGTTTTGGTTTGTTCAGCTAAGCAGCCTTTCTCGGTGATGGCCTTGTGCAGTGCTGTTGATCTGAATTAATGAGCATGTTTTTGTTTCATTAATTACATGGAGATCTGCAAACAAGAAAGGAACTGTATATTCCCCTGCTAATTGGTATTCCTTGTTTTACAGTTCATAGCAACCCTATGGATATGCCTGGGAGGGAGCAGAATGAGGACAGAGACAGCGGTATAGCAAGATCCGGTAATGTCGGTTCCATGTGTTAACCCTGTAGACTCCAAAAATATTCAGTAATATTTGTCACTGAGATGTCTAGACATAATCAAATAGTTTTTCCTGTGCTGAAATGCGATTGTTCTGTTTTGTTATATATGAGCATTAATGCATACCTATATGTACACGTACAAATGTTGTAGGCGTCAAGGGTATTGCATTAGGAACCTCAAAGAGGTAATCTGAACAGCAGTGCAATTTATTAAAGCATGCTGCAAATAAGCAAGCCAAATTAAATATTGAAATGAGTTTGCAGCATTTCTAAACGGTGCTCATCATCTCCTTTTACAAATTGAGGAGGACGGTAATGTTAAAACATGAATTCGCCTCCACAACACCCCTTTCCTCCCCCCGAATTCAGGATATCGGGCACGTAAGGTTAGGATTGGAAAGGCTGTTAAAGGATGTGATTAACGTTACTCCTTTCCACAAGGAATTTATTTCCCGATACTCAGGGTTGATGAGCACGGTGCAGCCTGTATGTTTCCTATTATGTAAAGCTGCAGGACTGTCCCACCCTTGTAGTGCTGGTGTATCTTGTTAATGTTATTATAAACTGGTTATTTTTAGATAAGAAACGTAGATAAACAAAAGAGAAGGCACTTGAGAACCGACACCAGTTTATCTTGAGGGGCTTTGTTGAGTTGCTGGTATTATTTTCCAAATGCTCTTTCTTCTGGAGAGATTTTTATTTATTCCTCTTATTATTGCAGCATCTCTTAGCAGTCTGCTCATCACTCCGTTTCCATCTCCGGGCTCTTCGTTTAACAAAAGCTGTGCTAGCAGTTACCAGCGGCGTTGGCGTCGCAGTCAGACTACCAGCTTGGAGAATGGGGTCTTCCCTCGATGGTGAGCTGGGAATGAAAATGCTGGTTGCTGCCCACTGTTGTCAGCTTGATTCTGCTCTTGCATATGTACAGCTGCTCTTGCTATTGCTTTCTGTGGGGTATTTACAGAGGTGTAAGTCAGGCTGCACTTCAACGCCTGATCTTTTTTAGTATCTCTTTTCTCCGTGGCATTCGTTGTTTTGCACTAACTAGAAAGCCTTCAGCAAAATGTAAACCTGTAGGCTTTACTTTTGAGGGTAAGAAGCCCTAAAATTCTACTTAAAACACAAATTCTTGTGAGAGAACTAGAATACCATATTCTAATCCAACAAACACTTTGAATCTGGTTCCAGCTTTTGCGACTGCAGGATCAATTAATGGTTGCTTGTTAAAAATTACAAAGTGGATGTTACCAAAGGTGATGATTTGACAACACGTGCCAAGAAAAGTTGTTTATTGGAGTTAAATATTCAAGCATTGAATTACACAGGAAACCAACGTACAACTTTAAGCAGTGGATTACATTAACTTTCTATTTTTTCCATGCTTCAAGGTCCATGGATGAAAGCTTTAACTTGTCAGATGACAGCTCTGGTCCCAGCCCAGGAATTGTTAGGAAGAAAAAGATAGCAATTGGAGTTATTTTTTCTCTCTCAAGAGATGAAGATGAAAACAACAAATTTAATGAGTTCTTCTTCTCGCACTTTCCTCTCTTTGAGAGTCACATGAACAAACTGAAGAGTGCAATAGAACAGGTAAACACAGTCCCTTTTGATTCTTGCACTTGTATTGCTGTATGTTCCCCCCAGCCCTGTCAGGTTTAATTCCTAACTCTTGTTACTAGTTTACAAAAGTGGGATCGACTTGCTGTTGGGTATTGGAATCGCACCAGAGAAGCGCTTTGCTCCACGACATCTTTGATGATGTTTCTTATTGCTAGCAAAAGCACAACACGGGGTGAGGACAGAGCACGCTGCACTACGCTGCAGGGATTGCTGAAAGCGAGAGCAGTCGCTAGGCAGGGTAAGCTCCCCGCAAGCCCTGGATCAGCCAAGGGGGAAAGGTGCTTTTAAGGCCACCTCTGCCTCCTGGTTTCAGCTGTGTCTGAGTCTAGTGGATCGCAGGGCAAGAGCCTTTCTCTAGGCTATTCCAGGCTGTAAATAAATATCGAGCTTTTTTCTCTCCCTTTATTTTACCGCCTGATTCTGAGGTGTAGGAAATTTTCAAAGGTTGAAGTTTCGAATGTGCGGTTAGATTTGCTTCAAATCTCTCTTCTAGGAAATACTTGGTGGTTATTTTGCCACTGCAGTGAAAACTTTGACCCCTCTTATGCCTTGTATGATGAAAAGCACAGAAGAAGCAGAGGCTGCAAATGCATGTGCCTCACCTATCTTTCCTCAGATATAAAAGTTGGCATTTGTACCATCGTTTTATCACTTAAAAAAAAAAATTATTTGCATGACTGGTTGCATGAAAGATAAAGTCAAACACATGACTTTGTTTTCCATTTTCTGTGCTTCTGTAGCTCTGTGTTACTTATCTGTTTAATGATTGTTTTCAAGGCTATGAAAATGAGTCGTAGATCAGCTGATGCCAGTCAGCGGAGTTTGGCATATAACAGAATTGTTGATGCCCTTAATGAATTCAGGTGAGCAGTTTGTCTCCTATCTTTTGTGTCTGTTTCTTCAAAAGCACTCAAGTATGTTTTAGAAGGATCTTCACCTTAGTGCAGGTTAAGTAACTTACAATGTTTAAAGCTTTCTGCAAAAATAAGTATAATAAAGGTATTGGCTATAGCACGCCGTTATAATCTGTTTGTGTTTCTATATTTTGCCAAGTGTGTGTATCCATCAGGGCTTGGTGTGAACGGGACATAAATGATGAAGGTTTTCTGTGCTTTAGGTGGTAAGGAAGCTCCCAGCAACCTCTTAAATTGTCTTTTATGGCCAGTTGAGAGGGGGAAAAGAATTGCAAAACCATGTTAGGGAAGTCCTCCTCTAGGGTATATTTTCCTGATGTGTGAGCAAAGCAAGACCTCTACCCTGCTCTAAACTCTGCTCTAAAGGCATTTCAGATAACCAGCTACTAAGAACGAGGACTATCTTTTTCACACAGTAAAGTGCAGTACTGTAATCTCTTGCTATCAGTACCTGCAGAGCGTCTCTATTCAACAGCTAATATACAAAGTAACACAGATAAGCACATCCCTGGCATTTAACTGTATTTTCTTTCCGTAGTTTAAGTCATGGGGAGGGAATTAAGATGAAATCCGTCTGTTTCAAGTGATTCATCTCCTCTCAGATGGGAGTGGCAGGGTGCTTCCTTTTACAACCAGTGTAGAGCTACTTTTTGAAGACATTATAGAAGACAGTGCTCTGATGTTGTAAAAAGAAAATCCTGACATCAGGATTTATTTTACTGAACAGTGAAGGATCATGAGACTCTCTCATTTTTTTACAATTCCACTTACTACCTGAATGCCATGGATTAGGTGGTGGTGCAGGATGAAGGCACAGTATATTTTTAAATTTTTTTTAATTTTTTGGAACCTCGCCTCCGAGCAGTTTCAAGGGAGGGCAGAGGATACGTTTGGTAGGGGCAGGAGGCAGGGAAGAGTGAGCATGTGGGCCCGCGGTGAGAGGTGGATGGGATAAGCAGTGCCAAGAGAAGGAGCAGAGGGAGCTCGTGACTGCTGGGAGCCGCCGATCCTGCCCAGGGGCCCGAGACGAGTTCGGCAACTCTGAGCAGCCACAGTGGTTCCTCTGCTTCCCCCAGCTCTGCTCTGCCTCTCCTCCCCGCTCTCACCCAGAGACGT